AAATCATTTCAACTTAGTTTTTATTATAAAAATATTATAGAGAATAATTAGTTTTTAATCTGTTGGTTCGAATCAAAGGGAAACTGAAATCTATTCATGCCCATCATGTGCACCAAGAGATCTCATCCACAGAGTCGGAAGAGTACCACTGTCGCTGAGGGGAGAAATGAGAGAAAATCAAAAGTAATAACATTATGTACCTTGAGAAGGCTGATGTGCCCAGTATTTTATGGAGTGGGTATATAATGGCAATTAAACAATACCGTAGTCTGTTAAAAGCATAATAAGAAACTCCAGGATAAGCATTAGGATCTGTAACATCACACCTAAGGTCAAGGACACACTTTAGCTTTACCATACACTTCAGAGGGGACAGAGGAGGTGCTGTTTTGTTGGTTAGTTATTAAACAAGACAATAGTGATGGAATATTACATTCTCAATAGCCTGAAGCCTCCAAAGGTTTAGTTCTTGAAACACGGTTGCAAAAATAAAATCCAAGAATAGCTAGCTAACTACAGACCATGACATCGCCCTCCCCCCGCAGATACAGAGAACTTTTCATGAAGGTGATTATAGAAAGGCTGTCTGCAGAAAGGAAAGGATTTAACCATAATTAACAAAGAAAGCTATCTGGTGTGGATTAATAATGACACCTTTACCCCACCATTTAAAAAACCTTCATTCACATGCACTGCCCATTATGGAGTGTTGGAGTAGAAGCTTTCTGAATGAAGTGACTCATTAGTTATTGTGGTTTTCGGATAAACATTAGAACTGCAGCAGCCAGCAGCCATACATGGCTCTTCCACGAGGAATGTGGCAGGCCCTGCATGTTGAAATAATAATTTCAAAAAAATTGGACTAAATAAAATATGGTAAAATTAATTACACCTGTTTCTCTTTACAGTTTTATTGTCGTTACTGGAAAATTTTAAATGATGTAGATGGTTTTCATTTTATTTATATTGGAAAGCACTGCCCTAGAGCCTTGGTGATCATTTAATAACAGCAATGAAAAACCTGCCCAGGATCTTCTGAGAACTTCCTGTGGTGTGAGGCACCAGCCCAAGCATTCTACATACATCCCATTTCATCTTTATAATGACTCCATATAGTGGGTATCATCACCCCCATTTTACAGATGAAAACCGAGGCAGAAAGTAACAGAGGAGTTGAATAAGTTGTTTGAAGAATGGATCCAGGAGTGGAGTCCCAAGCAGTTTGGCTCCAAATGGAACATGGTCTTAACTCAAAAGAGTTGCTCCACTGTTTATAAGAAAGAGAACAATGGTTTAGAAAACAAAAGTCATTCAAATAAACTTTTCCTATCAACTTCTGCTTATTGTTGGGGGGAAAAAAATCAAACATCCAAAAGCAAACAAACTCGACATATTTAGTGTTTATTGCTTTTTTGAATGAGTCCCCAAGAAGCACATAAATAAAATTCATGCTAAAGATAATTATAGGCAGTGTCATATTAAACTACAGGAAGCAAACGGTCCTGGAAAGGGGAGTCTGGGACAGTCTCTGATGGCCAAAGCACCATCATTTGAGAGCCACTGTTCTAGGATAAAACACATCCTAGGGCACTGGACTCAAGGTGGCCATGTTCTCTGACTGGTCATGAACACGGCGTAGGCAGCTGTCTCAATGTGTCTGCTCCTTCGTCCCCTACACCAGGACTGAGTGTCACCACTTCAGGTGACAAAGTCATGGCATGACTTTTGCTGGTATTAGCAGTAGGTGTTTAATGGAGTCACATAAGTTATCCTGACTGCTGGCCAACAAAGCCTACATGCGACTTCATTAGGGACACCATATTTAGTTCTAGATTGTCGCCAAGTCAGAGCCAGGATTCACTGGCTGCTGGTTTGAATGTCCAGGCAGACTCACAAAAGAAGACAAAAGAAGAAAAAATAAGCAGATTTTCATATTACTCTGCAAGGTTTCAAAGACATCCACATCATACAAGTCAAGAGGTTGTGCCAACCACTGTGTTATATGGTGAACATGCCCACAACCTCACTGTTTCAGGCATGTGCCCTGAGGACACAGAGCACGAAGGGTGAGGACTGGGGATGTCATCTTTCTGAGAGAAGCAACATGGAACTATCTATTCAGCTCTTCTGAATTGGCTATTCACCTTCCTGAAATGAACATGCTGTGCTATCTTCAGAAAGAATGTTGGCAGGGCTGGGGGAAGGTCCAAAGTGATAATACGCTAATACATGGATGGCGAATGCCTTCCTTTCTGAGGCTGACACAGCTGTGACCTCCGTGCCGCTAGCAGCAGGGATCCAGTGTGGCCACATAAAAATGAGCTGTTTTCCTCCCTGGGGAGACAGGCAGGGGGATATATGAAGCTGTGCCTGATAAAGGGAAAGTATTATCTGAAGATGTTTATAGTAAAAACATGGGAAAGCCGTTATGATTAATTTATTTCTTTACTATTTCCTTAAAACAATAATAGCTACAGAGAAGTCATCTATTGAAAGTCAAAGGGCAAAACCCCTTTTATCATTTCTTCTCTTTGAGTATTTGGGTGGCAGGGAGTTTGAGGGTAAACCAACATTAACAAAGAAAGGCCCGGTGACCAAATGTCAAAATGCTTCTAACTGAAAAACACTTGACAAGACATCCAAGCCTAAAACTCGGAAACTGCAATGACACCCAGTGGGTGTCAAAGGTCTTTATTTCTCCCCAACTTAACAACTACCACTCTGTCTCTGCCCTTCATGGGGCCAGACTTGTATTTCTCAACCTCATTATCGCAAGCCTTTGTATGTTTGAAGACAAAAGCAGTTATCTTAATCCACAAGGATTCCTTTTCAAACCCCCTCCCTCACCCCTGAGCATGTAAACATGTGGATCATAATTTTATTTTAATAAAATAATGCTGGCTTCACCATTAGGAAGAAAATGCTTCATAGTTCATTGTCTTCTTGAGGCTGGCAGATCCTATTCAGAAGCCAAATTGCTAGTTTTTCTTTTTTGATAAGAGCAGAATTAAAAGAAAAGAAATCTGAAAGTCAAATGTTTGCCAAGAGCAATGAGATCAAATAAATCTGTTTTGCCTGGGTCCACACCACCTAACCTTGTCAGTGGGATAATCTGTCTCTCCTGTGTGTAGCTCCTCCTGAACAACCTGCTCCATTTACTCCCAGAGGGGCAAGCCCGATGTCTCAGGGCACTACCCAGCAACTCTGCTGCTTGATTCAAACTGGGCACATGACTCAAGAGCCAATCTGTCGGCCAAAGTCTACTGGATCTAACTTCTTGAATACTATCTGATAAAAGACCAGATTGTTGTCAGTTGGTAGCTGACCCTTAAGTTGAAAGGTCAAGTGATACTAGAATAACCATATGGGGCAAAACAAACAAACAAACAAACAAACAAAAAACTGGGAGAGAAGAAACCAGAATTTTGCAAAAGTACAGAATCACAAAGCCATAGCAGAAACTCCAAGATTTGCCTGTGTGGCCCTTGAAAGAGAGTAAAGCATATACCTCAGTTTCTAGTTACATTCCTGGTCACGACGGCTTCATCTCAGGATGGCCCTACTATGGTTTCCTGAAAATACTCCCTTTACATAAGCTACTTTAAGTGGGTCTTTGTTTCTTATATCCAAACAGACCTGACCAGCACAACATCTGACCCTACTTCCCCTACTCTCTATTCCCTATTTTCTCTGCTTTTGGTAGGTAAATCTTCACACTTTTTTCCAGGCCAGCCAGGTTCATAATCTTGTTGCCAGTGCTTTCAGTTACATTACTGATATTACCATATCATTCCAAAACCTACCCCTTCCCTGTACTATATCTCTGCCCCTAGCTGTCAAGCTCTAGGGAGGCATTTCTATGAATGGCCAAATAGGAACCTTCCATTTTTAGGCACTGCTGGTTAATGGCTCAGATCACCTTTCTTAGAAATCCTCCCTATTGTTCTATTTTCTGGAATTATGGAGAACAAACCTATGCTTCTGCTACCTCAGTGTATGCAGCACTGTTTGATGATGAAAATAATCCGTCTAAGAATTTTCCCCTTTCATCTGCTGTTCCCGATGAGGTAATTTCAACGCTCCTAATTCCGCTGGAACTCCTCTTCCTCTGGCATTGCCCTCAACCACATACCCGTTTCAGCAATTCCTACCCACAGTTATTGGCTCAGCCTAAATTCACGTTCTCGTGGAAACTGCCCAGGACATACTCAGAGATAAGCAGTTCACTATAGCGGTTAGCAACACTGGTACTGAAATTAAGACAAACCCAGGCTTGGTTTCTGGCTTCAACACTCATGAACCATGAATCCTTGGGCATGTTATCCTGGCTGTCCACACCACAATGTCCTTAATGTGTCCACTCTTAGTGCCATGCCCATCTCTCAATGTTGTTTTGCAATTTAACTGAACATATGTAAAGCACTAGTAGTGTGCTTGATATATGCAAAACATTCAATCAAGGGTGTTTTTCTTTTATTTCTTCACGTACGTAAATCTCTCTTTTCTGAATGTTTAGTAGGTTCAGTGGTTCTGAGGATGATCTTTGGGAGCAAACACCACGGCTTGGTAATTGGTTGTATGACCTTGGGTAGTTCAGTGTCTCCCCTCTATGAGGTGCAGGTACAAACAATAGCTACCTCATGAGACTGCTGTTCATGAGGATGACATGTGTTAACACATATCAGGGGCTCAGAAGAGTTCCTGGCACAAGATATCACTGTCACTGAGGACAGCTGTTAACTCCTCAAGATTGAATACTTACACAATCCTTGATTTCATGGCTGCAATTCTCTTTAGCTAGTTAATTTGTAGCTGAAAAACAATGTTTTATATTTTACAATTCTTAGGTTCAAAAACATGTTTGTAAGAAAGAATGAAGGAATCAATGAGGACCAGAATATCCAAAATTTAAAAAAAAAATCCTATCTAGCAATGTTAGATAGTTAAGACAAGACAAAACAAACAAACACTGAAGCCCCATGTTGGGGCTGAATATCTACCTGGTGATAAGAGATGGGGACAGGCTTCCGAAAGACTATCCACTCCACAATTTCGCTACATGGTGGGGTCGTCAGAGAACCTGTGTACCGGTAATAGCTGCCCAGGGATGCAGGCAGGAGGTCCCGGAGGACGAAAGGATCCAGAAACGTCTCCTTCTCTGTTGAAGGGAAGAGGCAAAAGAAAAGCACAATGGTAAGTCGCACCACGTTGCAGACACAAAGGGAAATCCTCTGCGTGCGGGTGCCACATCACAAGCCTTCGGTTTGTGTACTCCCCCCCAAAGCACTAGCACTTGGTGGTGGGAAAGCCACAGAAAACAAAAGAGTGTTTCTTTCCCAGGCGTGTTCTGAGGCACTGGCACTGCACCGTATTTCATGAAAAACATGTTCCGTGATGAACAACACTGGGCAACTGCAGTTGCTCTCTAGATCCCCAGGAGATGGAAAAATACAAGCATAGTAAAGTCTCTGAACAGTGCTGCCAAGAAGCAACGGGCTTGACTTTGTTTACCCCAAACCTTCACAGTCTTGTTTCACCAGAGGACACTTCCCTATCTGATACTTAAGAACAAAAAACCAGTAGAGCAAACCTTGGGGAATCCATGAGAGAACTGATGTTAAAAAAAAACCAAAAACCTGTACGTCAGCAGTGAACTGCAGCTCCAAAGTCAGTTACATCTCATTTTGATTTCACCCAAGGCCTATGGAAATTAAAGTAAAACCTAACGAAGGAACAACCCTAAACTGATAAAATGGTGGCCCTGAAAACAGGCTTCTTTCTTTTACAAAAGTGCAAGTATCTTCCCTGAAGTAGAAGGAATGATGTTTAAGCTGAGGCCCAACAAAGATGCCCCACAATAACTCAGTGAGAAAAGCAAGGTACAGAAGGGTCACAGAGCTTCTAAGTGGCAAAGCTGGGATATGAACCTATACATGTGGATACCAGAGCTTGCACGATCTAATTCAGCTGAAGAAGAAGCTGAAGTGACCTAGGTGAATACTGATGGGTGGGGGGCAAAGGAAGAAGAGAGCACTTCTGGCCTTGGGAATGGCACATGCGAAGGTCAGAGGCAGGAGGGAATAGCGCACCAGGGATTAGGGCTCCGTGTTATAACTCCCAACCAGGCTCAGCAGGTCATCCAGCTTCTTTCAGAAAGTGGAGTAGTTTCCAGTCTCTACCTGAGTCTCCAAAGGTCTAGCCCTGGCCTGAATTTAAGTTTGGGATGCCCTCCTCATCCCTTTTAGGCTATTAGAGTCTTGCTAATGACTTGCCTTAACTCCTTAATGGCCTACACTCTGCCTGGGCCCCGCATTCCTGGGGACTTCAGGGACCCCGGTTACTTCACGGACACAGTTGTGCCTAGAGAAATATTTTTCCTAAGTGTCACCCCTCCTCCCTCTTTTTTCTTGCATGAAAAACAGTTGTGCAGATGTGTATTCCTAAACCCAAGAGGTCTATGTAACTGGAAACGATGTAAAACCTCCAACAGAAATCAGCTATATAGAATAATTAAAATTGCATTTCCTTTTAGTAGAGATTGGTTAAACAAAACAACACTTACTATGTGCCAGGCACTGTTCTGAGTATTACATGTTGAAAACATTTAAACAGCTCTTAATGTATGTGACAGGCCTAGTTCTGAGTGCGTTACATGGGCTAATTTCTCTAATTACTTAAAATGTTACTTAAAACGGTTCTGTGGAGTAGGTCCTATTAGTACTAATACTTCACAGAGCTGGAATGCAAAACCAGGTAGTTTGGAATCCAGACTTCAGTTATTCTTAAACCATCACTGCACTCTCTCACTTCACCACCCTATGACTACACACTTTTAATACCACAGTTTCACACCTGTGGAAATCAAGGCATAGAGTAGTTAGATAACTAAGCCAAGGTCAGTAGGGAAAAGTGAAGAAACAGCGGTTATCCATGAGGCTCAGATACTTTGGCTGGTTCTTATGTAGGTCTTCAATTAACTTTTTAAAAGGAAAAATTAAATATAAACAATAAATGCCAAAGTCCTCAAATCATAGGGCTCTATAATCAAAATGACAAAAGGGTTTCTGTTAGACAAAATGCCGGACATAATGGAATTGTCCCTCTGCCCACTGGCAAGTCTGGGCTTTAATTTAAACCTGGTTCCCAGAAGCCTCACGATGGGGGGGATCTCTGCAAGCGGGCTTGGCCGGGACAGGTTTGGCTAAGAAGAGGAGCTATTTTGGCCTTTGCTTGTACTTCCGGGGCGGTGTAAACAGTTAACACAAGGCCTGACACAACTGAGGGTGCTTAGGGCCTGACATTGAAAACCAGAAAATCACCACCTTCATTTCTCCCTCGTGTTGAAGGTGAACGTGACTTCAAAGCGCAACATACAACCTGCCTCGGCATCAGGGGCTCCAAACTAAAGAAGCAGAAAATCTTTAGTTTTCCCGGAGGGCCTGACCCAATATTAGGGTTGCAGTTTAGAATGCTGCACACAGACAGGAAGTGACCAGATAGTCCCTGCAAGCTCCACGGAGGCAAAGCCCCGGCCTGGGGTGCCCACTTGAGGCAGAGGCCGGGGCTTAAATAAATAAATAAATAAATAAATAAAGCAGAAACACCTGTGCTACCAATCTCAGGAGACTAGATTTCAAAAGAGAATCCTGTTTCAGCAGGACTGGGAAAGAAAGTTCTTGTATAAGCTCGCCAATTCAGCAGGGACTCATGCAAACTGCAGCTGTGACACTCGTTACAAATGCAGAGGGCTTCTCTGTCCTTGACCAGAGCCCAAGGGCAGGCTCTGGCTTTAACTGATGAGAAGGTGCAATCAGATGGGTGGGGGGGGGCGGGCACACCTGGTGAGGGCACAGCGAAGGCGGCTTTGCTCTAGTTCTTCCCACCACTGTCACTGCCCTTGGATCTTAGAGCTCTGAGATCTGGAAGGTCACTAGACAGCCCTAGTGCTCCAGGAGTAAAAGAACCCTTTCTTTAAACAAAATCTTACACAGGAGCCAGGCAACTCGAATGGCTGAACACCAGCCACCAGGGCTGAAGCTAAGCTGGGAAACCAGGGATACTGAAAACCGCTACTTTAGTCCAATTCTTTAATTTTACAACTCGGGAAATGGCAGGCCAGGGTGAAATAATGAAGCCAGAGTAAAAAAAATGGAGAATGTAGACACTTGGATGGGATTCTTTCTTCAAGGAAACCCCTTAGAATCTGGAAACAGTAAGCTTGGGAGCAGGAAAAATCCCCTTGTGCTGAAAACCAAAATGGAACCACTGCCCTCCTCACCACACCTCATTTCTCCATCCTTCCAGGGACCGTTAAAGAAAGCAGATTCTCAGTTTGCTCGTCCAAATCCCAGCTCTCCACCTGTGACCTGTGTGATCTCAGTTACCCAAACCTTCCCAGGGTATTGTGAAAATTTAGTAAATAATTACAAGAAAGGGGTGCAGGAAGAGCTTGGAACATAGTAAACATGTATAAACAATAATACTATTCTTATTTTAATTACTACTTGTATTATTATTATTCCTCTAAACTACCAAGGCCTTGCCATGTACATCTTACATAACCATGTACTTCCTTTAAGTTGCTTGTGTATGTGTCTTATTTTTTAAAAACTGGATTACCAGTGCTTTACAGGAGCATCATATCTGACGTATTCGTCAGTGACCTAAGCAGTATAGGTTAGAATTTTTGAGTTTTCATTGCCAAAGCTCGAGCATGGCTTTGGAACCAACTGCCATTTAACAGCTGTGTGACCCTAGATAAAGATCTTAACCTCTCAGGTACTTTCCTTATTCTACCAGGATTGCTGTGAAAATTAAGCAATTAATAAATGTAATAAATGTAAAGGGCTTAGCACAGTGCCTTGTAAACCCTGATTTATCAAGGCAAGCACTTGGCTGAGAGCAGGCCGGCTCATACTGTGTTTTAAGCCAGGGATTAGCAAATGTTTTCTGTAAAGTGCCAGATAATAAATATTTCAGATTTTGGATGCCAAGAGGCAAACATCAAAGATGTTATATAAGTACCTATATAACTAACACATTTTCACATCCTTATTAATGTTATTCAAAATGCTAATAATCACTAAGGACAATTTTTAAAATATGGGTCTTCTATAATAAGAATGAAATCCTTTTTGGGAAAAAAGCCATTTCATTTAATTAGGGTTCAAATATAAGAACCATTCTTAGCTTAGAGGCCATACAAAAATAGGCAGTAGAATTGATTTGGCCCTCAGGCCACATTTTACCTCCCTTATTTTAAGATATGGTGGAGGCAAATGTTAGAAAGTCACCTTGATAGTCATATGTTCAGGTGCCTCCATCACTAACGTTAATTTCTTTTGTGAAAATACATTATAGAATTAACTCTTGAGTTGTGTTCTTTCTCCCTTGAGTTTTTCAAGTTCAAATATAACATCAATTTTTACTGATCTTCCTGAGAATATCATTTCCTGCTCAGTCCCATAGGCAGCGCTCTGCTGACAAACAGGGTGCTTATGATGCTTAATTCCAAGTCAGAAACAATTTTAGAAATGGTAGTCCTGTATTTCTAGTACTGTCCACAAAGCTTACATAAGCCACAAGGCACTCAACTAACTGGACCCACAACTGGGAGTTCCTGAGTACAGCCCCAGGAAGAAGGAAGAATGCACTTTTCAGCTAAAAACTCAAACTGTTGCGCTAAGGAAATCTGAATAAATGTAGATATTGTAGAGCGGGGAGAAGTGCTAGAACCAGATCTCCTAGATTTGAATCCTAACATGTCTACTTAAAGGTCTGATCTAAGACAAGTTATTGAACCTTCCTGTAATTGAACCCTCATTTGTAAAATGAGATTCTAATACTATCAACCTCATAAGGAGGTTTAGAGCATTAAATGAATTAACAGACTTCTAGCCAAGATGGAGGTGTAGGTAGATACACTTCGCCTCTTCATAAAATCATAAGAAGGGTAACAACCAATCTAAAAACAAAAAACAACCAGAACTGCCAGAAAATTGAACTGTATAGAAGAAACATTCATTCAGACAGGTAGGAGGCGCAGAGAAAGGCAGCTGGTCAGGAGAGGACATGCAGCGAGCCAGCAGCAGCAGCGGGTGGAATGGGTGTCCCACAGTCATTTGCAATGCATAAGAACCAGGAGGGACAACTGGAGAG